TGGAACTAGGCAGACTTTGTCTATATTAATACACAATAACTAACTAAGAAATCTCTCCTTCCAGAACTACTTCTGTAATGCCTAACTGGCATTTTAACCAAAGGAGATATGTGCCAGTATTGAAATACCTTACCTATTGTAGAGCTGGTCGCCTTACCTCTGAATTACTTCACAGTGGGGTAAATCCCAAATTAGAGTTTAAAAGTAGTGTGTTGTCTAGTTGGTTTTCTTACAATGAAGTGCTTGTTGATACTGAGACCAAGACAGGACTTAACCTAAGATTTTGAAGCTAATGGTCTGGTTCTAAGGATGTTCCATGCATTTCTTTCCACCTGGCTTGTTGTTGGCTTGGACTTATCACACAAGCAAAGGTGGGTCCCAGACATTTGAACAACAAGGTACTTCAGGGGAATTGAAGTGGGAAGATGAGGTATTTGGAGCATGAAACATATCATGTTAATTGAATGTCCTTATTAAACTTAATTGCAGAAGCTCATCTTCCCCGGCCAAGTTGTTTGTATTTTAAGAGTTGAGAAAATGATCAAGAATTTAAGGAAAAAATAAAATGATCAGTTAGTACTTTTATGGGAAACAACTGGAAAAATAATTAATAGAGGAAAAACTAAGCAGTATACAAGGACCATGGTGCTTTAGTTTGAGGTGTTATTAGAGTTTCACTTGAAGTGAAGAGCAAGTCTTGCTTTACTGGGCAGAAAACTGTGAAAAGCTTTGAAACAAAAACTTGGCTTCTTTATGTGCATGGGGGTGAGTTGATTGATTTAGTATATTGATACTGGAAAACTGGTTTTCGCTTTCCTCGGTGATGTCGCTTGTTTTAACGGGGATGGTAGCTGTGTAAAAGGAGAAGAAATTTTGTGGGGGTCTTTGTGGTCCTCGTTACTGCAGAGCACGTTTAATAAGGATGTGAACAGAGCCCAGAGCAATAGGAAACAAAAACTCAAGTCAAGATGCATTTAACCATAGCCCAAATATTTTTTAGAGTTTATGCCACTTTTAGCTCCCTGACTTGCATGGATATATTAGTATGTTGTTGCAGTTTGTGCAGCAACATGAAGCCTACGTCAGTAAAAGCTGCCAAACATTGGATCCGAAGTAAAATGTGAGAAATTGTTGCTTTTGAATCAAGTACCATATGAAACAATTAAAATGAAAATTATGTGCCCAGTGTTCTGTAGGAAGCATTCGGAATTCAATCAGGTATTGGTGATTATGTGTAACATTATATTTAAACAGCTTTCTGATATGAAAGAATATTGTCTTTCATACCAACCAACAAGAGTGGCATTTTCTTAAAAAAAAAACAAACACACACAAACAAACAAAAAACCACAAGTTTTACATTTAAAAAGCACTGGGTGACATCAGAAGTGAACTTCACTTGCTCTTAGTAGTAATTGGCCTTTTAAACAAGAAGGGACATGTTTAATTTTGTCATTCTTCAACAGTAAGAGGTGTGGACACAAGCAGCACAGGTATCATGGTAATACCTATATTTGAGGAATACATAGAAACAAATGCTTAATTGAGCGTACATTTGCAATTAATTTAAGATTAATGTGCTAATTAGTTCTTTCAGATAATTCAACTGCACAACCTGAAAACGGGTGGATGAATCAGAAATTAAGGAAAAGCTTTTGTAAAACACTGTTGGTTGGCTGGTTGTTTTTTTTAATATATGGAGTGTAATTACCACTGTTTTTTTTCACATATGTGATGATTAAATTTGCCAGAATGCAAGTACAGCATAGTTGTGCATGTGAAGGATGGGACTTAAAACCTCAATATCAGAAGGAAATAAATGAGCAATTGCAAAGCCATGTTAAAAACCAACCAAACAAAAACCTAACAAAGAAAACAACAACAACAAAAAAACCACTGAGTATAAATAGAGCTAAAAAATCTTCTGTCTAAAACAAATACCTTTTCAAGGAAGTAAGGTTTATCTCCTTCATCTATGGATGTGTGGGACATGGAAGCCTGGTAAACTTGGATTGCTTAATCTCTACTTCTTTGTTAAATTATCAAACTTACTTTAAATCAGTTTTTACTAAAATCATAATCTGAATTCCTCTTGTTCATTTTGGTAGTGCATCCTTCTTGTTCAGTTTTCTGTCTTCTGTCAAATTAATTTCATTTACGTATAGCTCCCTAACAAATCATCACTTTTACGTAGCAAGTAATATGATTATGCATTTTGAAAACTTATCGTGTGGAACTTAAAATATTGCATTAAGCAGTGAGATGCAGTCTGAAGATGTGTAGTGATCATGACAAATGTATCGATTTGGTCTACTCTGAGAGAATTGTGTGTGTCTCTGAGTAGTAAGATGAAAAATCATATTTATGACTGTTTGTGATTTGTCAAATAACTGGAAGCCTGACAGATCTCTAGTTCTATCTGGTTTACTTCTTGTGGTGTTAAATCTGGGGTGCCTCTAATATGGTGGTAGTAGTAGTTCCATAGAGTCTTGCTTGTGGGCATTTAGCTGAATGACATGGTATAATGAGCTACTTGGCTATCCATGTAATATTCTCTCTGAAAGGTTCAAGCTATAATAACATGTTTAGTGTTGCTTTATTGATTTTGAAATAATTAGCTTGCATTGGGCAAGGCAAAAAGTAGGGGGTTTTTTCAGTGTGGCACAGAAATAAGAACTGTAGTTGCATAAAACGTTGTGATTGACTGGTATAATCTCAGGAGGCTTTCTCAGCGTCATCAACCCGTCACTTGGAACCTTGTCAGCAATACAGATGCATCTATCTCCAGCAGACCTAAAGAACAAAGGCAAAAACTGCTTACTGGAGACTTGTGGTAGCTGGCAGTCTCTTGTTTACATACATAACCTGACATGAAATCAATTGGTATTTCATATTGAGGAATGAATATGGAAATTTCTTCGT